AAAAAAAAAAAAAAAAAAAAAAAAGAATATCTTAGCAGCTCTGCTCAAAAGCAGGGGAAGAAAAACCTATCTTTTTGTTGTTGTTGTTTGGTTTGTTGGTTGGTTTTTCGAGACAGGGTTTCTCTGTATAACAGCCCTGGCTATCCTGGAACTCACTCTGTTGACCAGGCTGACCTCGAACTCACAGAGATCCACTTACCTCTACTTCCCAAGTGCTAGGATTAAAGGTGTGTGCCACCACCGTCCAGCAAAATGCCTGTCTTCTGAACCCAGGTTTCCCTCTCCCAGTGGTAACCCAAAAGATATAACTATAAGCACAAACTAAGAACTGAGATCCTTGGTTCAATCCCAAGCACCACAGGGGTAGGGGAGGGGGAGAAGGAGGAGGAGGAAGAAGAAGAAAGCAAGCACACTAAATTTTGAGTTACCAAATGTTCAGGCCTGAGATCCTCTTATTCTGGAATCCTTTCTTCTTACCACTAAATTCTCTGTTTCCTAGGAGAGTCAAACCCGAATTCTGTGGAGAATCTTCAAGAGAAAGGCCTGCAGGGAGCTGGAGAGATGACTCAGAGACGAAGAGCACCTGTGGCCCTTGCAAGTTCAGTTCCCAGCACCCACATGGTGGCTCACAACCATCCATAACTGCAGTTCTAGGGGATCCAATGTCCTCTTCCGACCTCCATAAGTACCCAGCCGGTATATGGTACACAGACATACATGCAGGCAAAAACACTTATACAAATGAAATAAAAATATTTAGAAAGAGAGAAGACTTCAGATTTACCATAGTAGTTTTCCTAGTGACTAATTTTGGAAGAGATGGCCAGGCAGTACCTGGAAGTTGAATTTATATTGTGAATCTTCAAGAAGTACACACAGATGTTGAAATAGATTCCTGTCAGTGATTTCACAAACACTGAAAGTGAAAAAATATTTATCTTTTAAGTTCCAAGCCAAATGGCCAGACAGGTCTCCTCTGTGAAGTTGTGTAAGAAGCCTCTGAGGAAAAAAGTTCTCTTTGTAACTGAAGGAAGAACTGAGAAAAGGAATAAGCGGGGAGTGTCATCCCATAGACCACTGTTCAGAGAATCTTCAAGTTAAACTCACATCTGATGTACCAGAACCAACCGGTACCTCTGTTGTTCCCTAGTGAGACAACTTGCCAAAATGTCCAGTTCAAAGGCTCTTTGGTTCCCTTTGACGGTGAAGTAAAGACATTTGTAGATGGACGCCACCATCAGTCACCTCCAGTCTTCAGAGAAACCACACAAAGGAACCTGTAGCTGTAATGACTCCGGGAAGGCGCTTATCACAACCCAGATGGTCAGCTCAAGAAACCCCTCCACTTCAGAGACACTATACAGATGTGGTCAGTGTGGTGAGAACTTCACTCAGAACTGATGCTTCATCAGAGAGACCGCCTGAAAGGAAAACCCTGTGGGTGTGAGCCCTGTGGGACAGGCCTCACCAGGAGCTTGTCTGCCATCCATCAAGCGGTCCCCATGGATGGGAAACCGTACAAGTGTGAACGGTGTGGGAAGGGCTTCACCAGGAGCTCAAGTCTGCTCGTCCATCATGCCGTCCACACAGGTGAGAAGCCGTACAAGTGTGAACGGTGTGGGAAGGGCTTCAGCCAGAGCTCCAAGCTGCACATCCACCAGCGAGTCCACACCGGCGAGAAGCCCTACGAGTGTGAGGAGTGTGGCATGAGCTTCAGCCAGCGGTCCAACCTGCACATCCACCAGCGCGTCCACACGGGAGAGAGGCCCTACAAGTGCGGGGAATGTGGGAAGGGCTTCAGCCAGAGCTCCAACCTCCACATCCACCGGTGCGTCCACACGGGAGAGAAGCCCTACCAGTGCTGTGAATGTGGGAAGGGCTTCAGCCAGAGCTCAGACCTTCGCATCCACCTCCGAGTGCACACCGGGGAGAGGCCCTACCACTGTGGCAAGTGCGGCAAGGGCTTCAGCCAGAGCTCCAAACTCCTCATCCATCAGAGAGTGCACACCGGGGAGAAGCCCTACGAGTGCAGCCGGTGTGGGAAGACCTTCAGCCAGAGCTCCAACCTGCACATCCACCAGCGGGTTCACAGGAAGGACCTTCACTGAGCAATGAGTCCGCTCAGGGGTTCAGGATCCTTTCATTGGGAAGATAAATGTTTCATGGCCAAGGGCACAGATCAGTGGTAGAGCGCTTGCCCAGCATGGATAAAGCCCTGGGTTTGAGTTCCACTACCCACCCCCACAAAACTTCCAGCTTAATACTTTGTACTTGAAGGAGTGTGTGTGTTCATGTAGAGAGGATACACGTGCTGTGCAGGTATGTGCATGCATGTTTGCACATGTGTATGGAGGACATCTCAGGTGCTCAGATGTTTGTCACCTTTTTGTTTGAGACTGGGATCAGTCACTTGTGGTATGGAATGTCACCGAGTAAGGTAGGCAGCGAGTTCCATGGATCTACCTGTCTCCACTTCTCAGCTCACCCTGGCTAGGATTACACGTTGTGATACCACACCCAGCTTTTCTATGTGGTTTCTGTCTCAAGCTTGCAGGACAAGAGCTTTACTGACTGACCTATCTCCCCATGCCGTGGCTTAAATACTTTTGAACCTTTGTATTCCTCAAAAGACAGAGATAGTAAGGGTTATTCAGATGTAATCCCTCACAGGAAAAAAAAAAAATCAATCCTTCATTAAAAGTATCTGAGCACCCAGCACATTTCGTGTTCTACAATGAATAGATAATTCTTGTTTCTCAGATGGGTAGAGTGTACATTGCAATTCTGCTAGTGTTGTTAGAAGTATATTCCACAATTTTAACTGAAAGAACTTTGGTTTTTTCCAAGCACAGTATGTTTCCTTTGTTCATATTCTCTGAGAAATTGAATTCACATTTCCTTTCAAATTATGTGCCTAGTTTTTCATATTCCTTTTAAATCCTAAATAGCCCTCTCTAAACTGTCCACTGGAGGGTGGGATGGGGAGCTGAAGGTATAATGGACATGAAGATCTGTTGTGTTTAATACAAAAATGTACATCAGTTTATGGCCACACCACAGGAAGTGCTTCTCCATATACTACTGTGAGAGGAAGTTCAGTCAGCCCCTCCTCAGGCAGCTCTTCAGGAATGTAATGTTTTCACACAGTGAAATTAGTTGTTGGGGGATACTTCCATAGTAAAAACAAGGGAGCAATCCCCGAAACGACATATCCAGAGTAGTTGGGAGAGTAAAGCTAGCACTGAATGCTACTGAGAACAGGTGATCCGGCAGAAGTTCTGAGGCAGAACTGGAGGAAGCTGGTACATGAGGAACATGTGGCAGCCCATCAGCAGAGGCTGCAGAACATCTTGTTAAAGACTTGATAAGTTAAAACTTGCTAATGGAGAAAGTACTGGAGCCTGCCTTTGTTAAACAGGTCTAATTCGCAGGACAGTGCTAAAACACGAGGGACCGTTTACTTAAAGACCACAGCAGTCACGAGAACAAGAGGACACCAGCAAGTGAGAGCTCATCAAAAACTTCCAGGCTGGAAGAGGGGTGGGTGGGCACTGTGCCAGTACAGAAGCGGGCTCAGTTGATGCAACTCACACAGAAGATAAGGAAAAGAAAGATCTTTTGGGTTTCAGGCCAAGAATCTTTCAGGCCAAAGATCTATTTGGTTTTCAGGCTTAATAAAATGAAGGATGGGAATGAAGCATGATGGGAAAGCCGTGACACCAATGACCCCTTGTGGATCATTCCCTTCATCCCGTGAATACATGTCCTCTTCTGTAGCCAGGTTGTAGTTCTGCATTTTCTCTGTTGTCCACTTGCTATTCCGTTCATTTTAAGCTCCTGCCTTTATCTCCTCCTCTCTGCTGTGTGTTAATGTGCCTTCTCTTTGGAGATGGGCTGTGCAGCCCAGGCTGCCCTTGAGGTTATGACCTTTCTACCTGTCGTCATCACACCTGGCTTTTTCTAGTTTCTCTAGGAGGAACTGCTATGTATAGCCAGCTAGAACTCACCCTCCAGTAAATATGGGATGTTTCTCTGGCTTTGGGGAGACAACTCCCCAAAAGTAGAGCAGCAGTCTAGCTCTGCTTTACCTAAAATTCCAAAGTTACAAATCCTAGACACATTAAGGGGAAGAGGGGAATTTTGCTATCAAGTTCACAACTTAGATAACAATTTTCTGTTAATGGCACATACTAACAAATCACTCAAGATATCTCTACTAGCTATCTCTTATAAAAAATAAAAAAGAAGTTGGTTGCCAGGTGGTGGTGGTGCACTCAAGAGGCAGAGGCAAGTGTATCTCTGTGAGTTTGAGACCAGCCTTGTCTACAAAGTAAGTTCCAGCACAGCCAGGACTACACACAGAGAAACACTGTCTCGAAAAACCAAAAAAGTTGGTGCTGGATAGATGGCTCAGCAGTTAAGAGCACCTGTTGCTCTTGCAAAAGACCAAAGTTCAGTTCCCAGCACCCACAAGGTGGCTCACAACCATCTGTGACACCAGTTACAGGGAATCCAATGCCATGTTCTGATCTCCATGGGCACCAAGAATACACATACATACATGCAGCAAAGCACATAAAATGAATAAATCTAATAAAAATTAATACATTTGTTTATTTTGTATGCATTCAAGTGCTTTCAATAAAAAGGGGCTGGAGAGATGGCTCAGAGGTTAAGAGGTCTTCCAGAGGACCCTGGTTCAATTCCCAGCACCCACACGGCAACTCCTAAGTGTCTGTAACTCCAGTTCCAGGAGATCTGATGCTTTCTCCTGGCTTTATGGGTACCAGGCATGCACATAGTGCACTTACATGCATGCAAGGAAATCAGCCATACACAAAATCAGAGGTTTGGGGATGAGCTCAGTTTTTAGTGTTTCTGTGTATGCACTAGGCCCAGGGTTTGGCCACCAGCATGAGAGTGGAAGAGAAGCAAGGAAAGAATGTGAATTCTAGGTGAGATGGCAGACCAGAAGCTGCCTCTGTGACCTGGTGAAGGAGGCAGGATGAAGGGGGAGAAGAGAGGTTTTGATAAGCTAGTGATTCCACTGAGGGGCGGCCAGTGACAGCAGGCCCATTTTGTCAGTGTCTGTGACTTGGAGGACAGTGGCCAGGCACCACCTGGAAAAGGAACCCATTGTTTAAAACTGGGCTATTATGGAGTCCAGAAAAAAAATAAACACACAAGTGTGGGAGCCTGATTTAACCTTCCACATTAAGCAGCGCTCAGTTCAAAGAGAGACTCTGACTTAAAAAATAAGTGAAAACCAATAAAGATACCCAACACCAACTGCAGTCTCCACATGCACTCACACACACTTGCATGCACATACATGAACACATACATACACACAATTAAATTAAATAATAATGTTAGAGGTGTCACTATACCTGATTTGGAGTTATACTACAGAGCAAAATAAATAAAAGTAACGTGGGGCAGGACAGTGGTGGTGCACACCTTTAGTCCCAGCACTTGGGAGGCAGAAGTAGGTGGATCTCTGAGTTCGAGGCCAGCCTGGTCTACAAAGTGAGTTCCAGGACAGCAAGGACTAAACGGAAAAACCCTGTCTTGAAAAAAACAAAAAACAAAAAACAAAAAAAAACCCAAACAAACGAACAAAAAGTAATATGGTACTGATACAAAAGCAGACATGTAGATCAATGGAATAAAAGAGAGAATCCACTTATCAGCCCACACAGCTACATATGCCTGTTTTGTTTTTTTTTTTCCAAAGATCCAAAAAAATACTCACTGAAGAAAAGACATGTCTTCAACAAACAGTACAGGGAAACCAGAGTCCAATGTTTCACCCTACCCAAAAGTCAACTCCAAGAAAGCCATAGACCTTAACTGTGGATAAGGTAAGAACAAAACACTACAAGGGGCTTTCATTTCTAGATGTTACTATTTACTGCAAAACTCCTCTAATAAAAAGAAACATACGCCAGGAGTCAGAGGCAGGAGGATTGCCAGGCTCAAGAGCAGCTTGGTTTACATAGCAAGTTCCAGGTACCAAGCAGGACCACACAATGAGACTGTCAGAGCAGGGGAGGGGACAGAAGAGGGGAGGGGAAGGAGATTGAAGGGAAGGAAAGGGAAGGGAGAAGAAAGGCTGGAGGAAAGAGGGGAGGGGAAGAGAAGAGAATCATCTGGGGAAAAGAGCAAGTCCAGAAGCAGATTCAAATGTTTAGAAAGATTATCTCCATATATGGTAAAGTCACAATTTTAAAAGGATAAGAAAGAAGCAGGAGGTGGTGGTGCACGCCTTTGATCCCCAGCATTTGGGAGGCAGAGATAGGCAGATTTCTGTGGGTTTGAGACCAGCTTGGTCTACAGAGTAAAATTCCAGAACAGCCAGGTGAGAGAGAAATCTTGTCTCAAAAAAAAAAAAAAACAAAAAACAAAAAACAAGCAAACAAAAAAGAAAGATAAGAAAGGACAACTTATTCAATAAGGTTGACATAATGTTATTTGTAAAAAATTTAAGGCCAGGCATGAAGGTAAATACCTTTAATTTTTTTCTTTTTCTTTCTTTGTAGCAGGAATCTTAAAAGTACTTATTAATAAAATCAAACCCGAGGCCAGTTATCGGGGTCAATGCTGGTAGATCAAAGAGACAGAACAAGCCATAGCTATCTCACCTTGCCAATTCCTGGGATTAAAGGCGTGAGTCACCATGCCTGGCTGTTTCCAATATGGCCTTGAACTCACAGAGATTCCAGATGGATTTCTGCCTCTGGAATGCTAGGATTAAAGGCGTGTGCTATCACTGCCTAACTAGTGGCCTTTGTGTTCTCTGACCCCAGATAAGTTTATTAAGGTACACAATATTTTGGGGAACACAATACCACCACATCTCCTCTCTTTTTGTCTAAAATTAAAGAAAGCTTATAACT